GTATGGATCACTTGGGTTGTTACCAACATCTGGTGAAAATTTCATGTCATTAGCACCTCTAGTAATATATTCACTGAGAAAAATGGTGACGTATTCAATACTTATTTTACCCGCTGTATATACCTGTCTTTTTGTGTGATCATGTGATGATCTGTTAGAAAAATATTCCCAACCACTAGTCACACAGGTTGAAGAAGTGACTTTTGAAGTCAGCTGAATTTAAAGATGGCTGCCAGCCCTAGCCAACACAAAACGGCAGTAACTCAGTTTTACGGAGAATGAGCTGGAATTTGAGTGGTAGTAGCTGAGAGTCATCCACAACACGTACTCTGACATCTCGCGATATTGAGCGAAAGTTTGACCAAACTTTAGCATTAAGATGGAGGGTGATATACATCCCTTCAAACCTTTGGTTTATGTTTTTATCCTGGAAATCCTGGCGCGTTAATGTTTACAACAACCCTGGAAGATTAAAAAAATAATAAGTCTTTGTGTAATCTCTGTTACTCACCAGCCTGGCCTTTCTGTTCCAACTGAGGAAAGATTTTCAAACTGGACCCATGAAATAATCCCGTCACAGCGCTCCTCGCGCACATAAACCGTCCACTGAGAAGTTTTCACTGGGATTAAAACACTGAGCCGTGTGGGAGAGGCGACGCCACGCGGAGCTCTGACCAACAGCGCCATCTGCCGGCAGCTCGCGTCATCACAGAGAGGCTGCCTCAGACTTGCACAGACACTGACCCTTCTAACAATGTAATGAAGAATAAACTGAATAAACTGCCTTTATATGCAAAACAATAATTATAAGAAAATAATAATAAAAAACATGCATTTATTTTTAAGAGAAGCGAGAATTAATCAAAAACCTACAGTGACATAGCCAAATAATGTTTAATATTTTTTTATATTTACTATTTAAATTTAATGTTTTCTGCTGCTAATAGGTTTCAATATTGCCAGCTGCCAAAATTGAAAAGTGCAATAATGTTGTTGCTGTTGTCTGTGATCATTTGTTTGAGAAATATTTCATGAACCATTGAATGAGAAAAAAAATAGCAACAACTTTTGTTTCTTCTCACCATAAAATAATCCCAGTCTAAAACTATGAGGCATCTGAAGACTCTCCTTCTCCTCCTGAGGGTTGTTCCCAGACCAGAGGAGAAATACTCCGGGGTCCAAAAGACAAATAAAAAAGTGTCAAACTCATTTTCACAAAGGGTCACAAAATATTAACTTTAATTAAACATGAAACGTCACGTCCGTCATCTCATTGCTACGGATGAGATCTACTTGGTGTTTCCTGCATAGAAACAGTGTTTTTAACACGTCCTCATAAAAAACTGAAAGGTACTACGTGTATTTCTGACTAGATGTGAAATAAATCAAAGAGAAAAACTATTAAAATTAAGAGTTTTAATCAGTGTTGAGTTGTTCGAAGTAGCTGCCGTCTTGAACTCTGAACTCTCCCACTGGGAATTCTCACTGATTACAACTGGGCCACCGTGTTCCTGTCAAACTGTCACGTTTGGAAAACGTTAATCACAATTTTACTCCACGTAACTCACCAATCTGGAACAATCGCCACATTACTGTTAAAAACAAATCAATATTTCATAAGGATTGGATGGAAAAAGGGATTTGGTCTGTGTTACATTTAGTTAACAGTAATGGCTGCTTGTTATTATATGATGCTCTGTGTCAACAGCATAATCTAAAAACAAATCAAAAAACATATAAACTCATTATCAAAGCCAAAAGCTGTCTTATGTTTAACTGCAGGTTCATTGGCTTATTCACCTATTGTTCCAAGTTTACCACAATTATTAATTGGAAATTACTCTTTCATAGATTCCAAGTTTTCCAATAAAATTATTCAACACACTTTCCATCATATTATTCATCCCACCCTGCCGTTTAAAAATCCCATTCATCAAAATTTTCCACCACAATCAATCCATAAATTACGTACTAAATACCTCAAATTTCCAGTTGCACCAAGAGCCAAAGAAATCCACTTTAAAACTTTAAATGGAATATATCCATCTAATTATTTTACTCATCACAGGTTTGGTATTGAAACAAATAATTGTGTTTTTTGTGATGATACTGAAACAACAGAACATTTATTCTTTCAATGCATGTATGTTGAAACATTATGGTCTGATATGTTTGACTGGTTATTTCCCAAAGTTCCCAGTCTCCAAATGTTCTCTGAAAACAATATAATTTATGGACTTATTATGGACAATAACAACAGTGACTTTCTCATCAACACTATTATCATTCTGGGGAAATTTTTCATCCATAAAGCTAAATATCTTAAGGTTAAACCAAATTTCTATCATTTTCACAATGACTTTATTTTGTACTGCAATTCTCTTAAAGTGATGCACACTAAACATGCCCACAATCTGTGCTCTTTAATTGAAGAGTATGATTTAACATCTAAACCCTAGCCTTTCTTATTTTTAAACTTCTTATCTTTATTTTCACCCATCCTTTTCTTTCATATGCAAGTTTGTTTGTTTGAAATACACCTTATTGTTTGTACATTGTATTATTTTGTGTGATCTTTGTTGTTTAATAAAAAAAAACTGGGCCACTGTCAGCTGCTTTTTAACTCTGTGCAGCGCCACCTAGTGGTGGGATGACAGTACTTTCAAGAGTAAAATAATCAACATGCATTATGGGAAATATAGTTTATGGTCAATGCTGTCAATGCTTTAAAGCAGATTATTTTAAGACATTAATACATCTTTTAAGTTCTGGCAGGCCACACAAAATACAGCGATGGGCCACGTGTCGAGTTTGACACATGCACTCTAGATCAGTGTTTCCCAAAGTTGGGGTAGGGACCCAAATGGGGTCCTGAAACATCAAGGTGGGGTCCTGACAAGATTTTCTGAATTAATTACATTTTTGCTTTAGTTGTTACAAAGGAGTGAGGTTAGTGTATTTAAAAAGGATAAATGTAGTATAAAAATATTGTTACTATGCCCATGTTTTGTTGACCTGATACAAATATTTACCATCCAAAAATAACTGGGAACACAGGTCCCTGCTACTGTTATTTTGTGGGTCAAAAGCTGAAAAGTTTTGGAACCACTGCACTTTGGTTCCCAAAGTTGGGCTTGGGACCCACTTATGGGTCATGAAGCACCTTGGATAATCTCCAGAAATCAATTTAAAGGATAATAAAATAATTGCTGATGTAATATTTTTCCTATAAATATTACAAAAACACAAAATAAGTATAAATAAGTATTTATATTTGTGTACAAGCTGTTTAGATTGTCAAAAAGCCTGTGTTTTTAGGGTTATTAACGAAGTTCTTGTACTCAGACCAGTAATATTTGGGGTCACAAGTTTTTGCCATGGATATTTAGTGGGTCAGAAGATAAAAAGTTTGGGAACCACTGCTCTAGATTGTATGATTTATATAAAATAAAACAGGACAAATGTTTTATAATTGAAAAGCAAACGCTTCACTGTGAAGATGGGTCAACTGAAGAGATGGCTGGAAGACGTACAGCAGGGTGAGCCTCTCAGTCGTCTGAAATATATATTAATTCTCATCATTTAAATTCCCAGTCAAAGAAAAAGACGTCTTCGTAAGGTGCCTTGTACCGTTAAAAGAGATGTAGGGCTGGAAATGTGCTTCTGAAATGTAGACAGCCTGGCTTTCTGCTTGCATGTGAAAACATCCTCTGTCTAAACAGGTAAACAGTTTTCCAGATAAAAACAAACAGAGATTACAAAAATGATTCCTTTATTGCTTAAAGAATACAGAATAGGCAACTGAAACTTGGTTTCTTGTCCTTTTTTTTACACTGAGGATTGACCCAAGTCACAATGAAAATGTTCTGATACTGCACCCGAGGGAAAAGAAAGAAAATAAATGTAGTCTGGATATGAAAACATCTGGTAAAGTTTCCTTTACTTTGCTTACACTGTTCTGGAGTCAGTAATGACCGTCACAGCAGCACCTACACCTTTAACAACAAACTCTGGCCTGTCAGTCTGTCCTCCGTCTTTGGTTCCATGAGAGAAAAAATAAAATATTCGTTAATTATTTTATAGTCAAGGTGTAGCGCACTGCCAATACTGTGGTGGTTCTAAGGAGAGAATGACACAAATAAACTGAACGGCATAAAACATGTCTGTTTTGCCTACAAAACAGAACAAATTCAGTTTTCACTATTTATTTTTTAACAAATATACCTGGAGGAAGGGAAAAGAAACCAAATCTTTAGTTGAAAACTGAGTCAAACACTATATAAGGAGATGAACTGACAGCTTCACCCACTGAATGTGAGTGATGAATAAAGCAGTGAGCCGTTCCTTCAGTGTGCTCCTCACAGCCACAAATCTACAAATTACAAAACAGAGTGGGCATTGACCAGAACTAACAAATAAAAAGGGAGACATGAGAAGAATCAAAAACCTAACCGCCTTTTAATCCCGTTCCTTTTCAGACATCTTTAAATCCTCCTCTCTCTCTTTCAGTTCTTTCCAAACGTGCGCTCTCCAGTGCTCCGAGACGTCTCGAGTCTCTGTCGACGGCGTGCCGCCGCCGCCGTCCCGGACACCCAATGTCGGACAAGTCGAGCGGTGCCCTGAGATCACATGTCGTCCTCCTCGTCTTCGTCCTGAGAGGATCCGGCCTGCTGGGCCGCGCTGGCGGACGCCGCCGCCGCCATCTGAGCCTGCTGGGCGGCCTGCTGCATCTGCAGCCACTCCTGCTGGGCCAGCTCCGCCTGCTGCTGCCGGGCCTGCAGAGGCAGAGAGGAACACGTGAGGCTGCGGGGAGGAGCTGCTGCTTTTTACTCACGCTGCACAAACATCAGCCCAACATCACAAACACACTGCGGGTCGCACACACAACCTTTTCACAACCCAAGCTCCAGTGAAGGTGGGACATTGTGGAAAACAGAAATAAAAAAAGAATATGATGGTTTGTAAATCCTTCAACCTATAATCAATGAACACACGACAAAAACATGCTCTCTCTGAGCCTCTCGGGGATGCTGCCTTTACCTGAAATATTATGGACTGCAGATGATGAAATTCTTAAATTCCTTGCAATTGTATAAGAATTTATTTATTTTATTTTATTTATAAAATATTATGTATTATTATATTATATAAAATTATATATGATAAGAAATGTTCTTAAACTGTTTAAATATTTGATCATGCAGTTATTCACAAATTGGTGAACCACACCCCATCTTTGCTTGTGAATGACTGAGCCTTTCAGGGACGCTCTCTTTATTTCCCATCATGACACTTGTTTCCAGTTTGACCTGTGGAATTCTCCAAACAGGTGTTTTTTGAGCTTCTCAATATCTTCTTGCCCCTGTCTCAGCTTTTTTGGAACATTTTGCAGCATATACTCTCATAAAAAAACATGCCCAAAGCCTTGCTCTGACTCATTCACGCATGTTTGAGAAATCCTGCAGTGTTTTTATGAAGCCATGCTGAGGAGCAAAACGACAGGTGGGGACCAGAAACGCCTTTTGGTACCAGAAACGCCCCTGGGACGTGTCTTTAAGCCGAGCTTCCTCATGGCAGAGCGCACCCCCTCCCCTTCCCCACACACCCCGCCCATGACTCCTGCA